TTGAATTCGTCTGGCAATTAACACATATTTTTAATATCATCTAATAAACACGCTGTAAAAATTTTTAGAATGCCTAAAGTATGTTTTCCAGGTATAATAATTAAACATATTTGGAATGGTCTGGTTACACTTTAACCCGAAAAAAAGTCTGGCATACTTATTTCAAGGTTAAATAGATGCTAAAATTTAAGAATAAACAAATTTCAAGTTGCCTAAAGAATGTTTTTTGGATTTATTTTTTTGCAAATGTTATGGGTTGGGCAGTAGCGAAATACCCCCAACTAGAGACCTGCACGGGCCGATTTTTTGATTCTGGACCACCAGTTAATAAACTATACATTTTTTAGATAGAGAAGCTTGCCTAAAATGTGTTCTCCGGCCCGGTTTGTGTAAAAACCATTAAAATAAAATGATCAAAATAAAATTACAAATATACGTATGTATACGCAAAATAAAAAAACATAAACATAAATAACCTAAAAATACCTGTTATAATACAAGATGTCTCAAGAACATGTACAGAAGTAAAGTTGTGTTTTTTTAAAGTGCGGAACCGGCCCAGCCCGGGGCCCGACCCCTATTGACAGTTCGAGACCGACCCGGCCCGAGGCCCGGGTTCGGGCCGGGTCGGTCTTGAGGCCCGTTCGGGCTACCCGGCCCGTGCAGATCTCTAACCCCAACCCCCCAGCCAGACTTAGGATTCTGGGTTCACCAGTTAATAAACTATAGTGTGACCAACGGATCTGTAGCTACGGGGTATCGGCAGGGGAACGCAGTTGTAAACAAAACACGCCCAATTTCATTCATAAAATAGGCATGGGCGTACGGTGTTATATGAAAATAATGTGTATCATAAATATAATACTCAGATTAATATTTTTTTTCAAAAAACTTTATGCTGTTTGAATCGTTACTGTTGAGTTAGCAGATAAACACTAAAAGCTTTTATTAAAGCTCCCTTAAGTATTTTGAATCATTTTATTATTGTGTTGTTAATATAATAGAAGAAATAATTACAGCTGAGGGTTGGACCCTTTGGTGTTACACAGCAAAATAAAACACTAAATCAGTACAATCCACCAAAACACTTTTAATTTTACACTGGACGCACGTTTCGCTAACCATGTGTGCCATCAGCAGATGATCAAGACTGAGTCTTGAGGTATATTTATTTATATATCTGTACTAACTATATTTTTTTCTATAATACATAATTCTAGATATAACTATTTCCAGCAAAAAAATCTTGAAAATAGTTAACTTTGGAAGCGCAAACAAAACATAATTTTACTCACTAGTAGATCCAATATTGCCTATTACACCAGATATGGTATCGCTCCGCCAGCAGTTTTTAAAGGTTAGGTCATTGTCTACCCATATGTTTCATCCAAATAGATAATACTTGGCTATATTTTCGAATTTCGCGTATATATTTTTGCAATGCAATCTCTCTCTGCAATATAATGGGCCGCTCCATTAATAATTATCTGTTATTTTGATATTTACGCCAAAAAAATTCATTTGATTTTAATAACCCCCTAAGCATTTCCCTGCAAAAGGAAAATTCGATTCTTCCTGCAATTTTTGCAAAAGCTTTCTAATTGTGGGGACGAGTTTGAATTCGAGATAAAATTTATTTATCAAATTCCTGACCACTTCGAAAAAGTCGTCGAGCTTTTCGACAGCAGTCTCACGTGGTCGTTTCTTTCCAGAGCTGGATATCATTTTATCGGGGTTAGTTTTCAGCCTTTTTTTATCTTCTGTGTGATTTTTTTATAGCGGATACGCTAACTCCGGTATAAAAAAATATCCGCTCAAGTTTACGTTTAAGCGGCGGCAACTTAAGCGAACGCTCTGTAGCTTCTTCATCGCATTATTATGAACACAAGGAAATAAACCAAATGAGATTTCATCCACGTTATTATTAACTTACCTATATAAAGTAGCTATTATTTCTCTTGTCTGACTATGTAGCGTCTTACCCTCAACAAATTTATTCATTTTAAAATACAAATATACGATCAAGCTTGATATTAATAATTAAAAACTACGAACGAAAAACATTATAACAAGATAACAAAACAATAAAACACAACTTAACTATCAAATATACGAAAAATATAGGAATAAAGTTTAGGATAACCGGTTGAAACTAAGAAGAAACGGCGAATGCAGATTCTGTGGGGAAGATGGTGAAACACCAGTACACCTCACCACTGAGTGCGCCGAGACGACAACCATTCGTGCCATGAATTTTGGTACGACTGATATTGGAGATGGAGAACTACCCTCTATAAAACCGTCCCAGATACTGGCTTTTGTCAAAGCCCTGGGACTGTATGATGAGTTATGATTCAAGAAAGGGGGACACAATGGATCTGTAAGGTCGAAGTGATTAACCCCCCTCCCACTCATTCTAAATTCTAATTCTAGGATAACCGGTATAAAATAATGAAATAAAGTAATAATGATCAAAAAAATGACACCGCCACTGGATATTTCAATAGTATTCAATATTCCTACTCTTTTCAGAAGAGACCCTGACGTTGGGGATAAAGCAAGCGAATAGGAAAGGCGTAAAAGCCATGGTAACCGCGTGGTAACAAATCCTGTGACGCACTCTCGCCAATCATGTTCGATGAATAGGCGGCCATGCGCGGCGATGTCGGTTTGCCAATGATATCGTTGAGCAATCTTCAACTTTTATAATAAGCAGATTATACAGAATGACAGAAATAAGTTATTAAATAAAACATATCGAACAATATGAACTACGTTAAAATTCCTTAGTAATATACGTCAGAATATATGCTAAACACATTATATATAATAAAAATATATTAAATTTATAGTTCATGTCTGGCAATTTTGCAATTTTATAGATAAACGTGGCAATGTCGATTTTTTTTTTCTCGCATTCCTTCCGTAGCTTCAGATCCGCTGGTCAAACAGTATACATTTTTAGATACTCTAGCTTGCCTAAAATATATTCTCTAAATATGTCGTCAGCTCTTAGGCTATAATAAAGACACTTTAATATTGTTATTATTAAATTCGTACATTTATGTTCGTGATATTTCTTTTGATGGTTCGCCAAAAAACCGACCTTCCGCCGAACCATCGCAAAAACCGATCACATCGACGCACATACGGTAAAATGCTATGTTTAGCTCGACAAAAATCCAAATTACAATTTTTTTTTTCGTATGTTCATTCACTCACTGTCGTTCTTATAGAAATCTGTGGACCCAATTTTAAATGTAATAATTTTTTTTCGAGCAACTACAGCGGTGCAAGCGCTACCGAGAGTTGATGAAGTCCGCACTTTCTGGAAAGAGCGTTAGCCTTGCACAAACATGGAGCGCGAAAGAGTGTCATTTACACCCAGCACAGCCATTTCAAAATTAATTGTCATTATGGACAATATAGCTACAGATATGTAGTACAATTAAATAACATCAATATAGTAAATTTGAAGTGTTTTGAATGTAGATAAAATATATTTTAAACACACTATTTTGGGTTTATTTTGTTATAATTTTGTTTTCATAATGGGTTATAGTGTTGAGTTAAGTAATACAGGTATAAAAAAAAAGCTTTCCCAAATCTGCCCTTTTTTTGAAATAGCCCTTTATTTGCAGGAAGTCGCACTAATTTCTATACCAGTCCTGTAATATCAAGAAAGGATTTTTTTAGTTTTCAGAAGGCATATATTCTAAATTATGAATTTCTAAATTTATTATAAGCTTTTTTCATATATTATTGACAGTAGAAAAAAAATCAAATGGATGTGCTGGGTGTAAATGACACTCTTGTGCACGAAAGGTGCGAACTGTATCAATTTTCGGTAACGCTTGGACTACTCTAGTTGAATGGAAAAATTTATAATATTTAAAATTAGTCTTACAAATGTAATACGAAAAACAATGTGTGGATAAACATACGAAAAAAAAAATAATCTAGATTTTTGTCAAGCTGCCGTGTGTGCGACGCACTGGTATATCAAATCAACGCATTGACGAACCCCATTCGCGCATAGTGTGTATGGGGCTTTAATATACATATACTCCCCGGCACAAAATTTCGCCACCCTAAAAATTTGACTAAAGTCTGATGTTTCATAACTTTTTATTTTGTAATCCGATTTTTATGATTATGGTATCAGTGTGAAGATAAATGTATTGGCATTATTTTTTTATTATTTTAATGGCTTATATTTTTCGGGTAGGTGGGTTCTTACCGGGGTAAATCAAAACGTTGTTTTTTGCAATAAATTCAAAACACCCTGGGGACAAAAACAGGCATTTTGGATAAAAAAAAACACTTTCCTGTAATCTACATGTATTCCTAACCATTTCATTTTTTGAATTCTTCCAATACCTTTATTCTTTTATGAGCTACACATTTTTAAGTAAAGTATTGGCTTCAGAGATTCTTTTATTGACAAAAACAATAATTTATAATAATTTTAATAGCGTGTATGTCCACTTCTCGCAGCAATAACGGCTCGAGGTCTTCGTCGTATCGAATGAATAGGGGTAGTTATTCTTTCTTGATCTATACGTTGATGAATATTTAAAACGTTACGATTTTTTAAAAAATTTTAAAAATCGTAACTCCATGTAGCTAGCGAAACGCAGTTTTCAATTTAAGATTAGGAATAATATTTGAAACAAAATTTGTAATAACATCAAAATCAGTCAAAGTCGCAGTTTTTGAGATAACAAAAAATTAGAAAAATTCCTTTACTTTGAAACCAAAAAAACTGCCTACCAACTTTTTATTAATATATTTTAGTATGGGCGGCTATACGTGCCTCCCGGCGCCAATTTTTTGAACAATAGTACCGTGTGCGTACACCGGGTTACGCATTTAAACGTTAGATTCAGTTTGTAAGTTAGATGATATACTCTATTGTTAATAGTGTACTAGCTGTATTTGAGAGGTTCTTGTAACTATATTTTGCATTCTGTACGTAAAAAGCTTTTTTTCTAATATAGATCAGTAAACACGGAGATTATTCCACAATATGCCAAATTTTTGCACGACTCTGGAGTACCAGCAGTATTGGGTAAGAATATTCAGACTTGATCAAATTTTATCATGTTTTGATGATTATGTTTTAGTCCACGGAACTAGTGGAGAGGGTATGTCTATGACCGTCGAAGAAAGAAAAAAGGTCGCAGAAAAATGGGTTTCTTCTGTCAGATGTACAAAACAACACGTCATGGTCCAGGTCGGTGGTTGTCCTTTACCTGATGCACAGGAACTCGCCAGGCACGCTGAAAAAATCGGAGCACACTCAATTTTGTGCTTGCCAGAACTATATTTCAAACCCAGCACTCCTCAAGAGCTGATCGATTACTTAAAACTTATTAGTCAAGCTGCACCTAATACACCACTTCTGTATTACCATATTCCAGCATGGACGTGTGTTGACAGTAAGAACAATTATGCCTTATATTAGGATATTTCAATGTAGAGTTCGGTATAGTCTATCCAACGAGATAATATATTATCGAGGGGTGTCTTACTTGGGTAAAAAATGTACACGTACTGCCAAAATATCATCTTTCTACCAAGCGACTGCCGATGACTGCAAAGAAGACTGCCTATGATTGCCATGTAATTATTTCAGGCGACTGCGGTAAGACTGCCAATGACTGCCAACGACTGCCAAGAAAATGTACATGTAATTCCACTAGTGAGACACCCCTCGTATATTATACACTCAGATGCAAAAAAAACGCAACGGGGAAATTTTTGGTCATATTTAAAGTGTTATATTTTTGTTATTTTTAGCCCTATTTTTATGAATTTTTTAGCAAGCTGTATATAACTATATCAACTTTAATTCGTAAACTCAGTTTTTTATAAACAATAGTAATTGGCATATTATACAGGGTTAAACGAAGGGTTGTTTTTTACCTTAACTTTAAAACACCCTGTGCAATAATTTCGTGTGTAAATTTTTCTAAAATATAATTGTACGGTCAGAACCATGTCGCCTAAGCATTTTGTTTTTTGGATCATGTCAATACATGCCTTGATTAATTTTTAAGAGCCGGCGGCGGTCTTTTTCGTTTGCGGCACATTGTCGATAAATATCAAAGGATTATTGCGACAATGGCAATTTTTGTTGGAATATTGTATCAAAAATTTAAATTTACCGGCACCCTAGCGGAAGTAGATGAGAATGTCATATGGGAACTGTGTATGGGAATTATGGGTAATAAAAAAAGTAGTCTGAAATAAAAGAAGGTGTGTGTCAGGGCCATGTAAGTAAAATATTAAAAATGGTTCCAGCAAAAGTTTCCCAGTTATGACGGATGATGGCGCTGATCGTCAAAATTTTTGGACAGGGATTTTGCTTACCGACAATACGACGTGAGCTACGACCGGACCAGGACCTATCAGAATGATCAGTCTTTCTTGGACATTTGCCGCGGAAGTGTGTGTAATTTCTGTTGTGATAAGTGTGGTTGTGTTTGCAGTTTGATTTTTCGGTTTTGATATTATGTTAAAATTAATTTTGAAGTATTGTATCACCTGTTTTTATGTAATAGTACTTTTTTTAATTCTATGATTGTTTCTATGTTATGATTTGTTAATGTTTGTTTAACAATGTTATACCAAAGAGGTTATACTTAATATACTTATCAATTTGCATAGCCTAACTTTTTTATCAATAAACTTTGTAGATTTTGAGATTATTTAATTCCTTTTGTTTCCGTTTGTAATTTTATTTTTAAGACATATTATGTGATTGTTTCACATAATATGTTTTAAAAATAAAATTGCAAATAGCGAATAAAAATAATTAAAATAAAAAAGTGTATTTTACAATTCCCCCCGGCCCCGCACCCCTTTGGCTAACCTATAATGTCAGCTATGTCGAGAGATGGCGTTACGAAAATGGAACCGATTTATTACAAGGAACTTGGGCTTCTTTTTCGTTAGTATATTCTGTGGTGTGTGTTGTATCGAGTACAAAATAGGTCGTTTTGGTGTTTTATTTATCCTAAAATCTAATAGGTTATGGGCCCAGACACCAGCCCAAAACGCGAGTTTCGGTAGTTACGGCAAGTTTACGGAATTTCGGTAGTTACGGAGTGAAAGGGAAGAGAAAAAACGTCGTTTTTCGTTGCGTCGTAATCGGGTATCGGTGGCGTTCCTTTTTTTTCAAGCCGTCAACTATTTGGCAAGCGTTCCGAAGCTAGTTGGTCGAGAAAACTACGACGAATGGTGCTTTGCGGTAGAAAACGTTTTTGTACTCGAGGGACTTTCTAAATGTTTGGAAGCACCGAGACAGAACAGTGTACTTCTGGCAAAAGCTAAAGCGAAGTTCGATGTTGACATTAGATCCTTCCTTATATGTGCATGTTAAAGACGCGGCCACATGCAATGAAGCTATGAAAAAGATCCAATCACTCTATGAAGATGTGGGATTTACCAGAAAAATAGGGCTTTTGCGACATTTAATATCCTTGAGATTGAGTAGTTGTGAAAATATGGAGTCGTACGTGAATCAAGTGATTGAAACATCACAGAAGTTAAGGAAAACCAAGTTTGATATAAGCGAAGAATGGGTAGGTTCCCTTCTGCTGGCCGGTTTACCAGACAAGTACGCCCCCATTAGAGGTGGGTTGTGAAATCGCAGTCCGCTACTTTGTCACAGCTCCAACAACGTCGCAGTATGTGACTGCTCCAGTTACAAGAAAATCGCAGTGACATTTCGGAGCAGTTTACAAGTTTAGGACATCTGCGCTCGTGAGTAGCAATAGGAGCAATAGCAGAACAATAGTGTAAATTCTGAAACTGCTCCTAGCCCCGTCGCCTCAAGGTCAGACTGTTCCAGTCACATCGTCGCAGGTCGCAGTCGACTGGAGCATAGTATATTGAGTATATTCTGTGGACTGGAGCTGTTGGGAGTTTGGGAACAGGAAACGTAGCAGCGTTCGCTTTTTCTTTCATGAATCTAAATAAGATATTTATGTATTATATATTAATCACAAACAGATGTTTTTGACAAAGGTAATTTTTAACTTGTTAGTATGTTTATTTGTTAGTTAATTTGGTATGTATCTGTGTTTTGTTGTATATCCTAAATCTTTTATTTGATCTTATACATTCATGTAAGTTTTATTATTTATATCTATTTTTAAGGTCTGATGATGGCTAAATAGTCGAAACCGGTCACTAATAAAGAATTTTTTGACAGTTTCGACTTTGAATTGAATATAACATTAAGTTTTTACCATGGGCCACCACTCTGTGAAAATGAACAGACTCTTTAAGATATTTATAGCAAAGTGCTTGGTACTTAGAAACACTCAAATTCTTCTGAATAGACTAAAAAAATATAGCAACATCTATCAAACTAAGACAAAAGAAAAATCAATATATTCATTTTCGTAATAGACGTAATATCTGAAATATATTCCTACAGTATAGTACCGTACAGTCGCGATTTTAAGAGCTCTAGGGGCCCGTAGTTCGGAAAAGTTCGAATCTTGTTCGTAAGGGCCCGGGAGGCTTGGGGCCCGTCGGTGACTTACCCCTTACTTATTGCACAGACGTTAAAATCGCCACTAGTGATCGAAATAAAAAACGCCGTCCAGTTGGCTTGGAAATGACAATCGATAACATTCCCCATAAATTTTACATATAAAATGCCAGCAATCTTCATTTCATAGCTATCACTGACGCCGTTTTTTTCGATCATACGATATAAATAAATAAAAACTAAACGATGATGTTGCCTATCATAATCACACCTATAGTCCTGTACTTTTTTAGTAAATGCAACGAACGGTGCCGAACACCGAGTGCGATTTTTCGGAGCAATTAACCTATAAAACTACATTTTTAATTTATAGGTTAATTGCTCCGAAAAATCGCTGCTACTTGTCACAGTGCTTTTATTGGAGCAGTCGCAGAGCGTAGCAGCTCCACAAAAATCGCAGACTGGCCCACCTCTAGCCCCCATGTTGATGGCGATCGAGCATGTAGGAATCGCAATCACAACAGATACCATCAAAAGTAAATTGCTTGATATGCAAGAAGAAAACTCTGGCAGTGTCGGCAAAGCAGGTGCCTTTGCAGCAAGCGGTAGTAACTTCAGAAATCAGTCAAGAGGTGGCAGTAATTCTAACAGAAAAGTGTCAATTAACAGTAGTAATCAATCTGTGGATGACCGGCGTGATTCTGACAGACGCCAAATTGACAGAAGTAAAATAATTTGTTTCAAATGTAAACAACCTGGACATTTTAAGTCGAAATGCCCAAATTTAAGTGTTTCTTCGTCGAATTCTTCGAAATATGCTTTCAGTGCTGTATTTTTAAGCGGAAAATACAATAAGAATGATTTTTATTTGGACTCTGGTGCGAGTAGGCATATGTCTCCCAATGAAAATGCATTATACAACAAGAGAAAACCAGACATTGAAGAAATTACTGTTGCTAACCACGAAAAATTAGCAGTGAAATGTTTAGGCGATATGGACATTTCTACAAGTGTAAAAGACACACAGAACAATATAACTGTTTATGGTGTTTTGTGCGTGCCTAATCTGACGACAAATCTTTTGTCAGTGAGTGAACTGATTGCTAAAGGAAATAGAGTGTCATTTAACCAAGAAGGTTGTTCGATATACAGTAGGAATAACGACTTGGTGGCTACAGCAACTCTAGTTGGAGGTGTGTATAAAGTAAACATGAAAGTTGAAAAATGTATGCTTGCAGCGTGCGATGACAGTGAACTTTGGCACAGGAGGCTTGCACACATAAATTGCCAAGACTTAAACAAGATGAAACACTGTGTAAGTGGCATGGAGTTGAAAGGAGTAGCAAGAATTGACAAGTCAAATTGTGTGGTATGTTGTGAAGGCAAACAAACCAGGCTACCTTTCCCAACCACAGGAACACGAAGCAACCAAGTGCTTGAAGTTATACATGGAGATGTTTGTGGACCTATGGAGACGATTTCTATTGGTGGCTCAAAATATTTTTTACTTTTAGTCGATGACTTTACAAGAATGTCATTTGTCTATTTTTTGAAGACAAAGGATGAGGTGTTCAAGTATTTCCAGGAATTTAAAACAATGGTCGAAAAACAACAAGGCAGAAACATCAAGATATTCCGCAGTGACCAAGGTGGTGAGTTCTGTAGCAATAAGTTCGAGAGATTTTTTCAGGAAGAAGGTATTATACACCAGAAGACGAACGCTTATACTCCTGAACAAAATGGACTTTCAGAAAGACACAATCGAACATTGGTTGAAAAAGCAAGATGTTTACTGTATGATGCAGGTCTACCAAAAAGATTTTGGGCAGAGGCAGTAAATACCGCTAACTATCTACGGAATAGATGCATAGCCAGTGGACTAAATGGAAAAACACCCTTTGAGAAGTGGACAGGGAAGAAACCGGATGTTTCAGGTCTAAGAATCTTTGGCAGTACAGTAATGGCTCATATTCCTAAAGAGAAGCGTCTTAAATTTGACAAAAAAGCTTGTAAACATATTTTAGTTGGTTTTTCAGATCATATCAAGGGTTATAGGATCTACAACCCAGACACTGATGATGTAACAACAAGCAGAGATGTTATTATACATGAAAACCTGAAAACCAATAAAATGAATGTTAGCTATGGCAGTGAAGTAACAGAGGAGTCAGTTGAAGTGGGGGAAAATAAGCAAAATACACAGGTTAGTGAAAACAGCTTACATAGTTCACTTGACAGTCTATATCAACAGTCAGAAGAACAATCTTCAGTTCATATGGACTCTACAGACAGTGACTATGAACCAGATGTGCCAGACACGACTTTGTCTGATCCAGAAGCAGCAAGACGATCTCAGAGGCCAAGGCGAGAAAAGCAGTTCACTGATTATGTTACGTATCTAACTACTGCTGAGCAAAATGAAAGTATTGTTCCCGAAGAAGTTCTAGTGACAGATGATACTCCTGTGAGTGTTCTAGAAGCCATGTCGAGGCCAGATCATGCAGAATGGAAGCGAGCTATTGAAGAGGAACTAGCTTCTTTTGAAGAAAACAACGCTTGGGAAATTGTGGACAAGCCAAAGGACGCCACAATAGTGAAGTGTAAGTGGGTGTTCAAAAAGAAGTGTGATAGTGAAGGTGATGTTAGATATAGAGCTCGTTTGGTAGCTAAAGGTTTTTCTCAGAAACCAGGGGTGGACTACAATGAAACTTTTTCTCCTGTAGTGAGACATTCTAGTTTAAGGTTATTATTTGCATTGTCTTTAAAGTTAGACTTAGAAATAACACATTTAGATGTAAAAACAGCTTTTTTGAATGGTTATTTACAGGAAATAGTCTACATGGAACAACCAGAATGTTTTGTAACTAAGGGTAATGAGAGTAAAGTGTGTAAACTGAATAGAGCCATATATGGTTTGAAGCAATCATCAAGAGCTTGGAATCTTAGGGTTAATGAAGTTTTATTAAAATTAAATTTTAAAAGGTCAATATTTGAACCCTGTATTTATACAAAAAAGGATAACAATCTCTTGACAATAATTGCTCTTTATGTTGACGATTTTTTAATTTTTTCTAATGATTGTAAAAACAGTAAAATTTTAAAAGAATGTTTAAGTTCTGAATTTAAAATTAAAGATTTGGGTCAAGTTAAACAATTTTTGGGTATGACTATTTGTAAAAAAAAGGATTGTTTAATGTTAAGTCAAGAAAATTATGTTAATCAGGTTCTTAAAAGATTTAATATGCTAGATTGTAAAAGTGTTACTACTCCAATGGAAAGTTTTGATTTTAATGAAAATAATTGTGATACAAATGTTAATAATTGTCAATATCAAAAACTAATAGGTAGTTTAATGTATTTAGCAGTATTAACACGTCCAGACATATCGTTTAGTGTTAGTTTTCTTAGTAAATTTAACAATTGTAATAACAGTTATCATTGGAAATGTGCAAAAAGAGTACTGAGATATTTGAAAGGAACAAAAAATTATGTAATTAAATTTACTAAGGATGATATAAATTTGCTAGGATATGTTGATGCTGATTGGGGATCAGATAAAGCTGATAGAAAGTCTTATACTGGATATATTTTTAAGCTTTCAGGTGGCCCCATATCATGGAAAAGTTCGAAGCAGAAAACTGTAGCCTTATCCAGCACGGAGGCAGAATATATGGCACTCAGTGATGCTTCTAAAGAGGCCATATATTTACGCAATTTAGTTTACGAGCTGACTGATAAATTGGATAGTGTAACAATTTTTAATGATAATCAGAGTGCCATTAAGTTATCAATGAATCCAATTTTTCATGAACGCTCTAAACATATAGATATCAGGTATCATTTTATAAGAGAAACAGTTGATAAAAACACTATTCAGTTAAAATATTTAGAAACAGAAAATATGATAGCTGATATATTAACAAAAAGTGTTGGAGGTACAAAACATATGTATTTTGTAAAGGGGTTAGGTTTAGAAAAAGGTTAGTTATTTTTATATTTTTGATAAGTGGGGGTGTTGGAATATTGTATCAAAAATTTAAATTTACCGGCACCCTAGCGGAAGTAGATGAGAATGTCATATGGGAACTGTGTATGGGAATTATGGGTAATAAAAAAAGTAGTCTGAAATAAAAGAAGGTGTGTGTTGTATCGAGTACAAAATAGGTCGTTTTGGTGTTTTATTTATCCTAAAATCTAATAATTTTTGATCCAATTATTTATGTGTTTTGTTTTTAAAGAAATACCCGCCAAAAATTTTGAATGTCCAGTTTGGTGTAGCAACGCGCCTACAAACAAGGGATAATTTGCCGCCGCCGCGCCTATTTTTCTTCGGTGCCCTAGGCAATAGCCTGGTTAGCCTATTGGGTAACCCGCCTCTGAGGGTGAGTCTTGAATAAGTGCAAATATTTTCAGAGCTTGTAGATCTTGATAAAAGAAACATATTTTCTCTTTACCGTTTTCCAAATAAGTCCAAAATAACCGAGTTATTCAAGTTTGTCAAAATAGTTTTAATATTTAAGTTTGATTTATTTTTAAATAATTTTGTGAGCCACCTGTTTTTTTTCTGTATTTGGATCCATTCTTTTAGTGTCGTAACCATAGAGTAAATCAGTAAGCATGGTAGATTAAGAAATTATACCGTGGATAAATTTGCGGTGAACAGGCAGTTCTAAAAAGTTTTCTAAAATATACAGGAAAATTAAAAAAAATGCATGCCTCTTTCGCGTTGTCTGCCGGAATTTTAGCGACAGGAAAAATGTCTGCCAATTTTCCACGTTTCTTAATAATAAATAAAAGCTATTTTCGCAATTATAACTCGTGTACCTTATAATATTTTTAGTGTCAAAATTTCACCCTTTCGATTGGCCGCCCCCGCTTTAAGCCCCTGGATCGCGCTGGCAGACATGACTATTTCATAATGGCTACACAAAAGGATACTTCACAAGAAAAATTAGCCATGTAACGATAAGGTTTTTTATGTAGCCATCTCTTAGGCTATAATTACGCTCTCCTTTATGCGTTAACATTTTTTCGGCAATTCATTAACATTTGAAATTGACATAACACAACACCGACGCCTAGTTCGAATTCCTTTTCACTTATTTTTTACTACCCGAAACAGCATTACATCGTACCAACCTCGTTCCTGAGTGTTTTACAGTCTCAATAACTGCACTAGCAAAAAACGAAAGTACTTAAATATTATGATAAAACCACGATTTCGATATTATTTTAATGCGATCACCATGACGGTGGCTTGAAATATGTACCGATAATTTCTGATTTCTGCCGTTTAAGCACTGCGGTCGGAATTGGTTGAAATCAACTGAAATGCACCAAGCCTATAAAATTAATATAATCAAATCGTTACTAATACAGAGACTGAATATTTGACAAGAATGAAGCTAGCTTCCCTTAAAGGACTAATAAAAGTTAGTTCTTTAAATTCTAGTATTGAATATAAACCGAGCGAGTCTCCATAGGTTCCGCCTATCAAACAAGGAGTCAGAGTTCGAGACCGGGTCTGGGCGAAGACTTTTATTTTTATTTTCGTTTATATTCTGATAGTATTAAATAATCCTGGTGATTCAAAAAAATATTTAATACTTTACTATCAGAATATAAACGACAATAAAATAAAAAAGTTTTTGCCCTGACCCGGTCTCGAACTCTGACTCCTTGCTTGATAGGCGGAACCTCTACGCGCTGCGCTATGGAGACTTGTTCGATTTATATTCAATACTAGAATTTAACAGACTAAATAAAAAAACTATAGGATCTTTTTCCGATGCGCACTATGAACGCAACGGGTATCGGCAGCCAGATGCTGTTCCAGAGAGCGTAGTAAAAGATATATCAAAGAGCCAGCTTTCTTAAAATACTTTCTCGAAAACGTTGCTAGCTCTTAGACTATATATGTTCCTAATTTGTACTTTTCAAATTTTTATCTTGTGTGATAAATGAACTAAATGTTTTTCAGTTAATATGGAACAATTTTTGGAGCAATCAGTGGGACAAATTCCTACATTCCATGGCATTAAGTATACTTCTAACGATTTAGCAGAAGGTTACAATGCTCTTAAGGCTGCTAATGGGAGATATGCAGTATTTTTAGGGGCAGATACGGTAAGTATTTCATTTCAAAAACGGACATCGTTCGGTTTTTTCCCTTACACTTCATATGATGAAACTATTTTTTTTAAACTGTTCAAAAAAAAGAAGCCACCAAAAAAGTTTTAAAAACTTTAAGGATTGCTGAGTTTTTTGGAAAAAACGGATTTTTTTGAAATTCAATTTTATTTTTTCCTGTCGTTACTTTATAGAAAATCAAAAAACTAATTGCACATTCTCATAGCCAGTTTATTAGGACTATCTGTCAGTATTTTTCGATTTTCAAATTAGCTGATAATTTGTGAGATACAGAGGCCAACTTAATTTTTTTAAATACGGACCTGCATTTTTTATTTCAGATTTTGAAAGGACTCGGTCTCCTGACTGCAATGATATGCCACACTTAATATTTTTTTTGTTTTGAACATTTGAACATAATTTATTTAAACTAATTTCAAGTCCGGCTCAAAAATTTTTTAGTATACAGGGTGCTACAAATTCGAGGTACGAGCATTGGTAACTCGGTAACCGTAATAGATACGAACATGATTAAATTGGGGCAAAGTTGCCGCTTTGGGATGTTCACCAAGATGCCATCAAAAAAGTTTTAAAAATATCAAGGATTGCTGAGTTTTTTGGAAAAAACGGATATTTTTGAAAATCAATTTTATTTTTTCCTGTCGTTACTATTTAGAAAATCAAAAAACTAATTACACATTCTCATAGCCACTTTATTAGGGCTATCTGATAGTATTTTTAAATTTTCAAATCAGCTGATAATTTGTGAGGTACAAAGGCCAACTTAATTTTTTTAAATACGGACCTGCATTTTTTACTTTAGATTTTGAAAGAACTCGCTTTCCTGAGTACAATGATATGCCACACTTAATAATTTTTTTTGTTTTGGAAATTTGGACACAATTTATTTTTGCTAATTTCAAGTCCGGCTCTGTTTTTTTTTAATATTTAATATAATCATCGTTAACAATATTGATAAGCTTTCAAACTTACCAATGACGTGGGATAAAACATTGAATATGGAAAATCAAATACAATATAACAAAATAATTTAAATATAATATATAATATAAACAATCAAATCATTTCACCGGAAGATGAATTGGAAATGGTAGATCAGTATAATGGCCAGCGAGATTCCTGGACCTGTCGCCAAGGGGGGGACATTACTTGACGTCATTTGTAAAAGTGAAATCAATACATCTCAACATTTACAATAAAGAACAAAGAGTACAAAATGCATTCGGAAGTATAAGAAGAATGTTCAAAGAGCTATAAATAAAATTGAACGAAAAATAAATTTGTGTAATAGGGAGGGTGGTAACCCTTTCGAACATGTGGAGCATTAGAAACTAGTTTGTAGAAATTGATTTATTTATAATAACTACGATTAATATTATGCATATTATTAGATCGCACAATGAGATTTCAAATTAACAATAAAAAAAGTTAAAAATAATATCTGTATATTGCTGACCTGGATATTATTTATTTGAATCTTCCAATTGTTTCGATTTTCCTGATTCTCAATGATAATTACCACTGATCAATATTGTTGCGATGAATATAATCAGATAAAAAACCAGATTAGGACTTAGGAAATTATTTTAAATAAAAATTAAGTAGTTTTGTTGTTATTAAGAGACCCAAAACAAAAAAGTATAAAGTGTGGCATAGCATTGTACTCAGGAGACCGAGTTCTTTCAAAACCTAAAATAAAAAATGCAGGTCCGTATTTAAAAAAAATAAGTTGGCCTCTGTATCTCACAAATTAGCAGCTAATTTGAAAATCTAAAAATACTATCAGATGCCCTGATAAAGTGGCTATGAGAATGTATAAATATTTTTTGATTTTCTCAAAAGTATCGACAGAAAAAAATAAAATCGATTTTCAAAAAAATCCCTTTTTTTCCAAAAAACTCAGCAATCCTTGTAATTTTTAAAACTTTTTTGATGGCGTCTTGGTGAACATCCCAAGGCGGCAACTTTGCCCCAATTTAACCATGTTTGTATCTATTACGGTTACCGAGATACCAATGCTCGTACCTCGAATTTGTAGCGCCCTGTATATTAGTAATTAAACTTTTCGTTACGTAATCGAGGGCGCGATTTTTAAATCATTGTTGCCAACCATGGACGTATTCAGCGCCGTGCTGACCTGACTAACTGGAATTTAAATTTCGCGCTGGGGATTCAGGTGGTAGCTCTGCTGTAAAAAACGTCAAGTTGTAGCATTTATTTATTCCCTGACATTGTCATTCGTTTTGACACTTCAGTTTTGTATTACGAGTTTTTGGTTTAAATAAATAGTGTTATGATTAAACTTGAAAATGTTTACTAGCAGACCTTGCAGTCGAACATTGTCCTTTTTAGAACCTCTTTTAGTGCGAAGTGTACAATATAGCTTAATAGCCGTAAAAAACTAATCGCAACTTTATTAGAATATTTTGAAAGGGAAACCGGTAGTAATGACCGTTTATGTCCCTGAAGAGCTCTTAAGAACGTGAGTTTTGCTGATAAATTTTGTAAATAATAACTATTTATATATTTATAATTAATTTATTTTTGTTTCCTAAAATATTTTGATTAAAAGTAAATATATAAAAGTGGACAACGCTGTGCTGGTCAAGCTTCATCGCGTGACTAAAAGTTTATTTTGTATGAACTGTATATTATTAACTAAAGACTGTAGCGTTTTATACACTTAATTTATTACCTAATAGATTTTAATTTGATTTAGTTGATAGAACCAGCTTTTGCTCTGGGCTTTGATTCCATTATTGCCACATCTCTAAACATTATTCCTGGACATTCAGTAAAAATCGTTGAAGCCATCCAGGAGAATAGAATTGCAGATGCTAGGGCAGTCCAAGGAAAACTTACCGCTGCATGCAAAATTATAACTAAAGATGGTATGTTGGATTTGTTAGTTTGTTTTATGGTGTTGCAAAGTTTATATCAAAATATATTTACGCAGTGTTTAATGGAAATGAATTTATTCAAAAATTTAATTTGAAAATAAACATACCCATCTTAAATAATAATTGAAAATAAAAATTATGAGTGAGTTAAGTATAGTCTATCTGACAAAATAATACAGGGTGAGTTTCCTACGATGTTCTCTATAGGTATCTCGGAAACTACTGGAGATAAAGAGTCGCTTAAATGGGGAAAGAATTGCAGTTTTGTGGGGTCATAAATATGCGCCTTTCAGATTTTTGAAATAGTTCATGGCTTATATATATACATATATATATATATATATATATATATATATATATATATATATATATATATATATATATATATATATATATATATATATATATATATATATATATATATATATATATATATATATATATATATATATATATATATATAGCCAATTCTGATCATTTTTAAACAATTACACTTAGTTAGCCATGGAAACAAGTTTAATCGTCTTTACTCTCATAAATGCGAAGCTGTCAGACCCAAACTTTGTAAATTAAAATAAACAAAAATTGTAAATATGAATTTTTCAAATGAAGAAAAGCGTGAAACGACATTTTATACATGCGGTCAAGAAAAGTCAATTAGAGATTCAAATAAAATATTATTTCTTAAAATAACACAATTTAATATAAACAATTTTTAACGCAAAACAAGACTCTTACACTTGGAACAGATTGGACTCAAAGTTTCTTCCCTGATCTGAATAAAGCTCCATGGGAACACCAAACCTGCAGATCCATTCTTTAACAAGGGCATCAGCAATCGTGGACGCTTCTTGATTTGGCAACGCGTAGGCCTCGACCCATTTGCTGAAGTAATCCATTACTACCACAATGTATTTGTTGCCATCGTTCGTCTCCGGGAAAGGACCAGCCACGTCGATCGCTATTCGTTCGAAGGGACTACCAACATTGTACTGGCGCATAGGGGCCTTTATGTTTTCCAATATTAAAAATTGATTTTTAAAAAATAATTCTAACTCAGAAAACCAAAGATTTATTTACTTTTAACTTATTTAATTAACAATAGAAAAAATTGATATGGTGACGGGCAGAGATTCGTTCTGCACTGCTGTCGATAGATCAATCCGTCGTTCGAAGTCCTGTCTTCGCTATTTATAATTAAAGGGTATCTTGCATCAGCACAAAGACATTATAAAGATAGACCGGACATCTCATTCATAAATACTCGTTGGAAGTGTATCAAACATTCCAATGTGTCAAACAAGGACAGAAGAGACAGAGAAGTCTAAAATTTCCGACCCCGGCAACTAGGCGCATTTGGATTGTTCTAATGGCCAGTAGCGTATCGTTTTTTGGAAGGAATTTAATTAGTAAAGTAAAAGTAAAGTAGTTAGTAAAATTTTTACTCCATATTAATATACTACATTAACACTTTTTCGTCAGATGAGTTTTGTCATAAGGTCTAATATAATAATATAATTAATATCCCATATATACTTATGTTAAAACGTTAGTAGGTAGTTTTCGAAAATCGCTCCAACGTCGATTTTCAATTTAAACTTTCAGTTACTTCTATATAAACTTTCAGTTACTTTTGAATATTTACAGGGTGACTCAAGTTTCTGAAACAGTTCTATATTAGGTTTGTGGTTGGTGACTTTTCTGTCAATTTTTTTTCAGAATATGGAGGCAATGGTAAAGCACATTTTAGACATTTTTGTAAACATAGGTGGCCGGAACATATTTTCAAACTAAAGTTGTAGATTTACCATTAAATTTCCATTCCAGAAATACCTAGGATTGCCACCTGTCCTTTTTTGAAAAGGACAGTCTTTTTGACTTTTTTTGACTTAAAAAGTAATTTTTATTTACGTATTTTGCCTGAGAAAATTACCTAGAGCAAACAGAAATATTCTTTTCGTCCAAATTTAATTAGAGATGTTATAAAACTTATAAATAATTTTTTCTTGTTTAGAATAGGCACATTATTTAGAACTTCCCGTTTAGTCTCAAACGATAGTTTAGGTTTTAGTTTTACCTTTTTTGATCTTAAAAAGAACTTTTCAAAATTAGTAATTAGTAACGATTTAGTTAGTTCGCAATCGATAGCTTCCTGTGAAGTACTGTGTAATAGTTGTTTAATCTTATATTATTAATAACTTCCTATACCTAAAATGAATATTTAATGAGAAAATTGTGTTTTTTTTGAAAATATAAGACAAGATTTGACTTTGGGTCTTCTTCTTGTATTATGATGGCTCTGATACGAGGCAATTACCTTTTAGTCTCTCAATAGAAGGCATTTATCATTAAAAGTATCAAATCTGTGTGCTACAGTATGGGATTTCTGTCGCATAATATTGAATATTACGTTTATTTACAAACCCATTACTTTTAAAGGTAGCTTCATCAGACAATCAAATTTTAGAAAAATATCTGAATCTTCATGAACTGTATTAAGCATATGTATTGTGGTTTGAATCACCGTGTATGTTGACAAACATATTTTGAAAATGTGCGACAAACCAAAAACGTAATAGGTAAAAAGCTTTTTTGGAGGCCTGGGTCACTCTGTATATAGGTATGTATAAAACTAGTAGCCTAAAAATTATTTACAATTCGTCCCATTTAAAAAAAAAGGTAAACACACCGTACAAATAACTCTAGGAAGAGGTATTTGTACGGTGGTAAAAAATTGTTTAAACGAGGCCGAAGGGGCAGATATAATAATGCAATAAAATGTAGAAAAGGGCGGGTAAACACCTACGTATTTGTTGAGCAAAATTCCTTTAGAATATCGTATATAATGACCAAAATATGACGCAATTTTAAGAAAAAAATGTCACTTTCTGGCTTATAATAAAGTTTCAAATGCAACGTTTATATTCAAATTTGTTATGATCTACAACAGTTAAGTAGTAATTGAGTCGAATAATAATTCAATTACCGGCTACTACGTTCCTGTTTTAATAGCTCAAAATTCAACAAATATAATTAGAAATTATTTTAATTGTGAGAGGCTCCCTTGTGGGACGCCTATGTACGGCGATTACGGCGCGGCGGAAACAATACCTACCTGTGAAAAGACAAATTCGGGTAATTTGAGCTTATTTTTTCACACATTTGACACTGTCGTACCATATTGAAAATTCGCAGATTCAAAAGTACGTTAAACAAAAAGCAAAAACTACTGAAAACACTGAAAAGTTCACTTCGGACTTGATTCCGACTACAAACACACCGTAAGCTAAACGTAGTACGCTATAACGGACCAATGGTCGTTGCGAGGGGTGGTGGGACGGACGGCTCATTTTCATTCTGGAAGACTAGCAGCGACGTTGCCAATAGTTCTAGACGTTTCAGCACATTAAACAATAAACATGTCCTTTAATAGTAACGCATATATCCTCTGGTTAATCACGCATACATCTTTAAAAATAAACTATTAATTTAATTAAGAAATTGAGATTTATTGATATCCGGTGAAGGTTTTAAAGTCACCTTTTCTACAAATCAAACTAAGCAGATAGGCGCAAATTTGAGATGTGGCAATGTCGCCTTCTCTATCTCATTTGGTTTTTACAGTACGTAGTCAACCTCCGATTGTTTGATCGGGTTAAAATGCACAATGTGATATCTGTTCTTCCTAAATCTATGCATCAGCATTATTGAACAATGAAGGCTGGATACATAACTGGGCTTTACCACGCTTTTGTGGCCCATTAATGGCTGCGCAAATGTCACATTTCTTACACCAGGCCCTCACATCTTCTTTGCAGTTCACCCAGTAGAACCGTTCACGCAGCTTGCCAAGTGTCTTGGTAACACCAAGATGTCCACCGCTGGTTCCATTGTGAACTTCCGCCAAGACTTCCGGGACCCTCTTCTTTGGAATGACGATCTGCCTTCTCTCTTCTTGTCCCTCTGGTCTCTCAATCACGGCGAAGTAATCCGTTATCTATTACCAATGAATTCAGCTGGGACCAGTACGATTTCACGTTCGGCGAATATCTGCAAACTTCCTCCCACGTTGGTCTCTGGTCCGCGTTTTTCCAGTTAATCACCAAGCCCAACTCTGGATCACTGATTGATATATATATATATATATATATATATATATATATATATCTCTACTATATATATATATATATATATATACTCTATATATATATATATATATATGCCAATTCTGATCATTTTTAAACAATTACACTTAGTTAGCCATGGAAACAAGTTTAATCGTCTTTACTCTCATAAATGCGAAGCTGTCAGACCCAAACTTTGTAAATTAAAATAAACAAAAATTGTAAATATGAATTTTTCAAATGAAGAAAAGCGTGTAGGATTATTGGTTCAACTTTTCTTGACCATACATTTTCGAGGATACGTTGATCGGTGAATGTTACGTTTTTTAGAAAACGGTTTTTAAGACATGTTAGAAAAGTTAAATTTAGTTATAGTCAATTTTTATCTTTCTTGACTAATTTCACTTATTCTGTTATGATTTATAACTTATAAAATGTCAGAATATATTACTAAACGGTTCTTTACAATTTACATTACACAAACTAATAATTAAAAAAATAATATCACTACATACATTTTAAGTTATTTTAGAAAATGTTCAAAAAATCCGCCCATGTTTTGAGTTGCATCTTTTTAAAACTGAATTACTACTATACTAATTGTTGCGGACCCGTACCGTGTGAACTCGGCCTTCGGCTTGGGCACTCGGCTATGACTCATACGCCGGCGACGCCGACCTTCTAGAACGGCTAAGAACCTTAGATCTAAGAACTGACGGGACAAATCTGGATTGTCTGCTGCTCTCATATATAAGCAGACACCTGAGGCCTGAGGAAGATAGAGAAAAACAACCGGTCGACGCGTACAGTTACAATCGCCGAGCTAATTCAAAATAAATTCCTGTTAGATAAATAGTTAGATAAATT